AACTAAATGGCTTTCGATACTTAGTTGTCTTTTAAACTATGAACTTAATCACCTGAACATGATTAATTTAGGGTAAGGTACCGCTTTTAATTCATACGTGCTTTGAAGTGAACAGTACTGGCTTTAAGAAGGATTAATTTTAAGGTGTCTAAGTGATTACCCAAAAGCTCTATAGAAGCCTGTGTTCTTTTTGGAAAAATCAGGTTATTTGGGGTTGCAACGAAAGAACTAAAGCTTGTAATCCAGAGTGCTTGGACTCTGCTCTGTTTGCATTGCTTACAAAAGAGGTCTATATCTATTGCCCCATCGCTATTCCTGGTACCTTTTTTTATGCACAGAATTAACTCCATATCTCATCTTAGTGAGAACAAGTGGCAACTTCCTCTATATAATATTAGAGTGTCGCTGAGCCTGAACGTTGATCAGGATTAGTTACCTGCACAGCATCGTAATGCATTCGCTGTTATCCCTGCACGAGGCTCCGATGGGTCTCAGTGAGACTCCTCTCCAGAAAGGCGTCATCCGCCTCTGCCTCGTCAGCCGGGGCTGTCGGTGGTGCAAGGAAGCACAGTGCGTCTGAAACAGAGTTGTAGCACGACTACAGTCAGAGCCTGCAGCAACTGTAAGCACTTGGTCGCTCTGATGCTGAGTTCAATAGTCTCAAGTGAAGAACTTGCAATCTTTCTCGTTTTCTGATGCTAGCATGCTCTGTTAAAGTATAACTGCTTGTATCCAAACCCCGAAGAAGGAAGAAGTACAAAAATTAATTACTGGTTTTTAATCTTCTTGGGAGGGAAGGCAGGATGGCTTGCTAAGTTACATCTCAGAGTAACTCAGTATTCACTAGGCAGCTGCTCTACTTTTTTATGATATTGAACCCTCTGTAGGAGTTCTGCTGTCATCTCTTAACTCCTGCCAGTTATTCTTACTCATGCAAATCCTCGCGCTTTTTATTAACTACCTAACAGTTTGAATTAGCACTAGTTATCTCCATTTACCTGGCTGAGCAGCAGTGAGCAGAGCAAAAAGACTGCCATCATTTTCCAACAGTGCATCTTCACAGTACGAGCTGTCACTTCGCCTGTAGGACCAGCCTTGGGCGGAGGAGGTAGGAAGAGCCTCAGATAGAACTTCCCAAGCTTCAGCTAGATTTTTATAGACTTCATTCTCTTATCGTTGCATCAGCTGTCAGTCATTACAGGAACAAAGTTCGCTTGGGAGCAAGAGGGAATTACCAAGTTAGCATCTGCTGAAGTGATCTGGTTCAAGGCCTGTCTGTCTAGCTAATGATTTACTCTCTCCCTACCTGTACTTTGGCTGGTCAGCTTACCAGTTGTGCCAACTGGTCCTTTTTAAAAAACCTACCTAAGGTGTTACCAGAACCCCATGGTGTATTTGCAGGCAAAAGGGGGGTTGCCCCAAAGTATTACGGTAAATATCAAAAGCCATAACCTTATTTAACTTCTGGGACATTCACAGTGTGTGCAGCTTTGAGTTTGTCAGCTGGGGGTAAGTATTGTCTTACGAAGCTTATTTGGAGCAGAGAATCATGCTTTTGATTCTGCTGCTCATTCCTGGTATATGAAAGAATCATGAGGAACTTACTTCACCTTCCTTTCCACGCACACGGGGCTCAAAAAGCAGATGTAATATTTTTCAGATGGGTTTTGGAATGTAGTATGTTATGCATGATAAATAACAGACCTCTTCATCGAAGGATCCTAACGTGTAGTTAAAGACAATAATCTCTAGACAGCTGATCCCCGAAGCAGAAGAGACTGCTGCAAGGGTTTTCTGGAGCCCAGTTGCTCCATGTGGCAAGACTACGGCTTCTTTAGATGAGCCATCTCTGCTACGGTCTGCCTCTGTACCTTGCAGCATAACTCACAATGAGTCACCTAAAACGTGCCAATAGCTCCCACTGGTGTGGATGGGCAGTTTGTAATTAAGAGGAATCTTAATTTTTTCCGTTGTGAAATGAGACAGCAACGGCCTAGAGAAAAGGATGTTTAAGAAGAGCTGTCTATTACCTCCCATCGGCTCTAAAATTCTCTCATCTTACAAACATTGGGACAGGTGGGAGAAGCGTATGTCTAAGATTACCCATCTGTAAATAAACTTTGCTGGTACTCGCTCGTCTTCCTCAGCTGTGAGATCGTGTGCATCTGGCTCCCACATCTGTCCCATGTACGCCGTATCTGTTGGGTGCAAGGCTTTTGAGATTGCAGAGTAACGTAATGAAGAGAACACCATTTTACATGTGCCAAGTACACGTGAGCTTCGGAGCACACACTGTCTTAAGTTATTTCAAGTAGGAAGATACTGTATAAAATAATGAACTACATTTTAGCTGAATTGTAAACGCAAATCTGGATACGATAGGCTACCATTTTGTGTGATTGCTTAATATGGAGGCATAAGTGCCAGCGTGGAAGGTGAGTGAGTTAGATTAAGATAATGCCATGTTGTCAGGTTCCTGTCTACAGATGATTTCCTCTAAGCCCAAACTTCACAGGGATTAAATAAAACCCTTTTGCATCATATCGTCTACAACCGCTACTGGAAAATTTGTTTCTTTCCTATGGTGGTTCTTACACTTTTTTCCCTCTGCCCTGTTTGTCTTGCTTCCCTGTGAGGAGGAATCAAAACCCTTCATTATTTCACCTTCCTGGGTCTTACAAAGGGAAGGAAATGGGACAGTAAATCATGGCACATCAGATAGCTGAACTTAAAGGTTTCTTTTATGTTTGGCTGTGAATTTCTCAATTGTTTTTCCCATGGAGTCCTTTCTTTACATGCATCCGAGACCTAATTTCTGCTATTTCCACTAGGCACTGTAATAGAACAGAGAAAGGAAAAGAAGAGGCAGCAGCAGTAGTCTTGACTTCATCTGTGGAGCCAGGATTTGAAACGACAGCTCTTTCAACACTGACAGCAGTGCCCTCTGTAAGCTGAAGTTTCTCAGCTTTTTTGGCTGGGTGAGACTGGTGCTTTGTGACGGTATGTCAAAATTGTGTGTCCTTCTGGGTTACTAAGAGCATCAGTATATCCCTTTCAGGCAGCTCTGTTTACTCTGTGCAAGAAACTGAGGAAAAAAGAATAAAATTGAACCAATTGTTTCCATGTATACAAGTCAAGCATGCCAGTAAAAAGCCACAGCAAAGATGCAGATTATAACAAAAAAACCCCCAGACACAAAATGTTGCTCTGTTGCCAATTCTAACATTTAGGAAAAGCAGAACAGAAATGAATTAGAGGATTGAAAAATTTTCAAACACTGTGTTCAGATTCTGAAATACTCACCGGCCGAACTCCCAAACGCCACATGTCCAGCAGGAGCCGTCCCTGCTGGTGCCAGGCCCTGCATCCGGCTCCCTGCCCGGCAGGCTGGGCGAGCATGGGGCCACCGGAGGCCGAGGACGGCTCGGCAGGGCTGCGACAGGCCGGCAGCGGAGCAAAGGGCAAGGAGGCCCACCCTGCCCGCTGACTCGCTGCTGACGCTGCAGCGGGGCTGAGCCGCCGCCGGCGCACTCGCTGGGTTGCGGTGCCTTGGGTATCCGGTCGCTGGCAGGGGTGAAGGTGCCACACTGCTGACAGGAGTCTGGCGCTGGTTCAGCCACGGTTCAGCTGTCTGTGAACAGGGGCAGAGACCTCGTGAGAGGGACCGAGATGAACTGCTCGCCTTCAGCAGAGTTGCTGAGACAAGATGCATTGAAAACCAAGAATTTACTGAAGCTACCAACATAACAGTTTACATGTGCTATCATTTAGGCTACCCACCAGCTGCTGCAGGTGCTCTTGGAGGCTTTAAATAAGCAGGACACAAGTACCAGTTTTGAATAAAGTCTGCCTCTAGGCATCTCTGCCAGCTCTCGCAATCATAGTAGCCTGTTTGTTGCTCCCTCCTTGCTTAAGCGGCCTAGAAAACGCCAACAAACTGAAATGCAGAGTTAAATTTAAGCGTAATTTAAGAGTATTTTTGGCACAAAAATAACACAGGGAAAAGCTGTGGATAAGATAAGCTCTCAGTACCAGCTACAGGAATAGCGCGGCCAGGAAATAAATGCATTGCTTTGCGTGGGGCATGAGCTTGAGAGAGTTATATTAATAAACATGGTAACTAGGTAATTTGTATCATAGAATTATAGAACAGCCCAGATTGGAAGGGACCTTGAAAGATCATCTGGTCCAAGCTTTCGTGGGAAAAGGAGCCCAGATGAGATTATCCAGCACCCTGTCCAGTCACATCTCTAAACCCTGCAGCGATGAGGGCTCCACCACTTCCCTGGGGAGGTTGTTCCAGTGATCGATTCTCTTCAGCGTAAAAAAATTCCTTTCTTGCATCGAGATGAAACCTCTCCCAGTGCAGCTTGTACCTGTTGCCCCGTGTCTTCTGCGTGGGGCTCCTTTGGAAGAGCGAGTCTCTCCACAGGGCTCGAAGTCCACATTCAATCCCGAGCCATCAGCCAGCTCATGCAGTTTTGGTCAATACCAAATCAGGCGGACTATTTGTTTTTCACAGGCTTCAAGGTTGAAGGAAAAAGAAGCTGCCAGCGATGGAAAGATAAAGGGAGCAATGAGCTTACCTGCAAGCTGTTATTTCAAGTCATTTCCAGCTGAAGGCAGCCCTCACTACACTAGTTATACTGAGAAATGTCTCAAAGAAACAGGAGCCAAAAAGTGCTGGAAATCATAGAATAGCTTGGGTTGGAAGGGACCTTTAAAGGTCATCTAGTCCAACGCCCCTGCAACACAAAATGCTCTAACATAAAAACGTTTGAGCATACAGAACTTTAGCCTGATTATCTCTCTGCAAGCAGAGACTTTCTGCTGCTCACCTTAAACATCTCAATACACAGATTTCACACACAGTCATGGGGCAAAGTTAAAGTTTATTCGACAAGAATTATCTCCCTCTTAATATTGTTCTAGTCATGGGAACAAGCTTAGCAACACAAAGTTGATAACCCAGTAAAGTAACAATGTCCTTATTAACTCGATCACTGGTCGTTTTCATAGTCAGCAGGGTTCTTCCTCTTCAGCCTCTCGAACTCTTGTGTTCCCCAGGAGTACAGGAGGTAACTTCCCACAAAGGCTGGAAAGGAAAGGGCACACTCACAAGTCGCACTGCAATAAGCACAGCACAAGAGCGGCCTGAACCACCGGGCTTCTGTGACAAGAAACCGCCGTCCTCTGGAAAAAAGAACCCGCCGTTACACAAGGCCACCGTTACAGAGAAGCCCGCCCCGGGCTTCCCCAATCCCCCAAAATAACGATACCGAGGGCTAAACAGAGAGGCTGGATCCCTCAGGCCGCGCCCGAGGCCTCTCCCACCGTACTCACGG